GAATTCAGTGTACAGGAATTACTGTAGAACATGTGTAATATACAAAATACTAATTATAATACTCATGATAAAATACTGACGATGAATGTTTACAATAAATATAAAGCAGTAATAATATTTTGTTTTTTTCTTAAATGGTAGAAAAAATATTTTTTTGATAAAGCAAGCTGTAAGAACATGTTGAGGAAAAATCACATAAAAATAGGTTTATATGATACTACTAAATTCGCCGTTATCTTACTAACACAGTTGCAAGCACATGATTTGAAATAAGATGTTCACTTTTGATTAATTTTAAAAAAAATTATCTTAGTCGAGGGTCTTCCAATCCGGGAAGTCCGGGGCATTTGCACACACATTTGCATCAAATAAAAGGGTTGAAAATTATACAGCTACTTTTAAATCTATGGAATGATAATACCACTGAAACAATGCTTAAGCTCTATAACACTAGTGAGTTTGTTTTTTACAGCAGCTCAGCATCAGGATTTAGGTCTTGAAGACCTGGAAAGGTCAGGTTCTACTTGACCTCTTCCTCCCTCCTGTACTATTGTAATTCGTATTCTTCTCGTTCATTATATGTTTTGGCTATTGTGTTTTTGTTGTTGCGTGCTTATTTATAATTTGTCTCCTTCTCAAAGCCATGTCCACGTATTTTATCTAATTTCTGTTTTGATTATTGTACAGACTTATTTTCTTTCGTGTATTGTTGTGTCTTATGCTTTATGTGTTGTAGAGTTCATGAACTGTTACGTCTCCGTTTGTTAATTAACTTTCCGTAACTTCGTTCCGACGAAACTTTAGCGACACAAGTCCTTTCTTAATAAAACTGGTTTATTCTTTCTGAATATAACTTCACGATACACTTAATTTCAACATTCGCGCTAAAACAAACGCTATAACGAGCGTTAACTTCAACAATACTTTCTCACTGCAGATCAATTACTCACTACCTACACACACATTATTGTCACGTTGTGAGCGTCTTATGTATATACCAGACTAACATATATCTAGTAAATGCTAGGGCATTCATGAAGGAACAAGATAGTTCTAGAAACGTGGCGTGACACTAGTCACGTGACCTCGCTGACGCAACAGTATGAAGTATTGTTTAGCGATGTTTGTGATTAGCGTTATGCAGTCTTCCTGTGAGTTTTGATATTGTGTAATAAAGCCATAAAATGTTTCTTAACAACTTCAATAACTGGGTTTGATGTCTGTTCTTGACTGTTTTCAATTTGTGGTTTTTGTGTTTTTACAGCAATGGAAGCAACAATCATATTTTAAAAGTAAAAGGTTGACCTTTAACAATGTTTAGTAAATATCATATATATATATATATATAAAGTTTATCATAATAAAACTATTGGTGAAAAATGTCTAATTTTATCAAACAAGACATCGAAAATGCTAGCGGAAAGGAAGGTGGTATTTTAACCGTTATCTAGACAAAAAAGAAAAAATTAATACCTGCCCAGTCTGATTTCCTGTTTTTTGTTTGATTCAAATGCGTGAGAAACCTTAACAGGATTTCGTTTTCGTAATCTACACATTTTTCTGGAATATAATTTCAATATGACTATGAAAAATAAAAGAGAAATCCCCTTGTTTAATCGCCTCTAAAACCAAGCACTGGTCTAGTTTTCGGAATTTATAGATTCGTCCAACAACTCTTCAAGTACATGATGGAACTGTTACCATTTTAGCTGAAATTAAAGAGTTTCAAAAGACTGTAGTGCATCAAAAACGTTCTAATTTAACAGTTACACAGTCTGTGTCATTAAAAGTGAAATTAAGTTGATCTTAATAATTATATTTTGAATGTTCCCCTGGCGTTAAATATCGACATTAAAACCATATGAAGCATTTGCAAGATTGAAAAAATGTCCACTTTTTTATAGATACGTTTTTTCTACGAAGGTAACGAACACCTTATTTCAAAGCACAGACTAGGGTATGTTGTTAAGTTTACTATAAATAAGTATAATGATTCACACTATCAATCCTCTGAATAAAAAAAGGCTTAATTAAATAGCTTATTTATACTTTATATTATTTAATTTTTGTTTTGTCACGAATGTTTCAAGAGAAAACATAAATACAACGTGACTTATTAAAAATTATTGCTTTTAGTAATAATGAAAAAAAACACGCCGATACTGAAAATAAATGACAGAGCACTGGAATAGTTAAACAATATCAGATGTTTTTTTACATAATTAAATTATATTGATATGAATATATATTTCTACCAACGTGCCATATATTTTACGTAGAAACTTATAAACATTTCGTACTGTCAAATGACATGAACAAAAATTCAGAATGAAATCAGCAAGTGTCAACACACAACACCTTTTTTTTTATATACTTGAACGGACGATGTTGCATTACAAAAACTGCACTTAAAAACAGCGAAAGTTACATTTTCGAAGGCAAATCAGAACCAGATATAAGGATATGCAGTAAGTGTTCTACGATCTGGTTGTGGACTGGAGACGTTTCAAAGTCAAACGTGTAACAGACAAGTTGACCTGGGCAGCACTGATGTTGAAATGGTTGATTGAAGGTATTGAAGACAATAGATATTTCAAAAAGTATATCAAGCGTTTAAAATTACAAACATGTTTTCTTTCACGCGTAATAAAATTACTTCTTATTATAAATATAAAGGGGGATCATTTATATGTGTGTGTGTTAGCATCCATCACCTAGACTTGGCTAGCTCGATTACCGTAATTTTCTGTATGGTAACTGTAAACTGTCCGACATTGTGCATAGGCTACTTTGTTTTAGGATTTTTACCTGAGAAGTGGGGATAAAAGACACCCCTTCGAACAGTTTCTAGTTACTATACCAATTTAAGCCAGTTAGCTCTGGATGGTGGATGCTAACACATACACACAGTGGATCATCTTTATGGTAATATATAGATGTACATACATATACACATACACACGTGATCATCGAGGCGCTGTTCCAGAACACGAGCACACTAACAAAGACTCGGCTATGACTTCAGCTTATCTTACTCCTCCGAAAAGCTGGTCTTAAATATGTAAAAAATAATAAATTAGGATTTTTAGGACACAAAAACTAAAACTTCTAAAGGTATTAGGTTTTTAAACATTAGTTAAAAATATGATTTTTTTTTTTTTGTT